TTTAAATCATAAAAATTTTAAATAATTTAATATATTCAAAAATTTTAAAATAATTTAAAATTGTTAATATTTTAAATTTAAAAATAACTCTACACTCAAATCGTAACCAACACATAAAACAAAACAATTAAGAAAATTATTTTTAAACTCATAACCGAACACATAATTAAAATCCATACTACTTTCACAACTTACACACAATGTAACCAAATACATAACAAAAAAATTAAAATATTTAAAAATATTTTTATAAAATAGAGTTTGAATTTATTTTTATAAAATATTTAAAATTTAAAAAATTAAAATCGTAATATTTTGAAATTAAAATATTTAAAAATAATCAAAAAATTTTAAAATCGTAACATATTTAAATATTAAAAAATATTTAAAATCTTAAAAAATTAAATATTATTAATTTAGTTTTGAAAAGAGTTTTAAATTGTGTTTGGTTATAATTTTTGAAAAGTAATGATTATGTTTTGAATTGAGTTTTGAAAAATGGGTGTAGAATTATGATTTGAAACCTCCAAACAAACAATAACTCAAATCAATGGGCATAATTTAATTTTGAGAGGCTTACCAAACAGAATATTTTGGAAGAAATTAAAAAATAAATAGTTTTTAGAGATCTTTTACTATTTTTTTTTATCATCCCTCAAATATGGAGGATCAATCCATCCTCCTCCAAATGAAAATGAATTTAAAGCACTCAAAGATACTTCAAATCTGATATGGCACTCCAATATTCATATTTTTGCATCTAACATCAATTTAGCATGGTGTACCAAAGTTGATGTGACATTTTGACATCATCCCATTATGTCAATTTGCAATGAAATCCTTTGATATTATATATATATAATTTCAATTATAGTATCAAAGATTTTATATTTTAAAAATGATATAATAATAAATTGGACATATTATATAAAATTTTAATATCAAATTGACATATGTAAATTTGTTACCTAAGCTTTTAAAAAATTTGACATATTAAATTTTTAATGTTTGGATGAAAATGCTTTAAAAAGATGAATTGGCAATGAAAATCTTTCCATTATAAAAATATGAAGAATGGGTTTGGAGATGCTCTAAACCTTTTCCGCGGTTCAGCCCACCGAACCGAACATGCGCCCCTCGTGTTTCGCTACCCACTGAAACTAGCACCAAACTATCAACACTAGCGCACTTTTAGCGAACGTTTAGGGTTGGTCTAATTTTATACTAGTGTTTAAATTTTTAAATATTTAAAGAATGAAAAAATTTATCTTAACAGCTTTGAACTGTTAGTAAAGGGTACATTATCCTGATTTTTTTTTTCCAAATTTTGAAAAAATATAAATAATTTTATAATTTTAACATAATTTCAAAATCTTTTTTCAATAAAGATAAATAAATTAAAACTAATTAAATAATTGCAAAGACAAAATAAATAAATAAAGTAATATTGCTAACCTGGTGTGTTTGTTCAATAATAAGTGCAAGTTTTAATAGCAACAAAAATAAAAGTATGATATAAGAATCATTATAAAATAACTTTAAAACACAATCACTTCAAACTCAACCCAAATCCTACCATATTTGCTAACAAAGTCATAACAAGTCACTTATTTAGTCTCCAAACCAGGCCTAAGTGACTGATGTACTTATATAGTTCACAAAAATATAAATGATTAGAGAAATTATAAATACTGTTGATCAAACATTTGTGATAATTTACAATAACACAATTAGCTATACTATGTGCAATGGTGTAGTTATAAAACACTTGTTTAGTAGTGTCGTTTAGTTACCATTGATGTCATTATAACAATATTTTTTAATTTTACAAATTTTATAGCAATAATTTTTCACATAGTATACTATAATATTATATATAATATCATAAAATAATTTAAACTTGTTAAATTACAGTACATTAAAATTTAGAAATATCAATATATTATTGTTTCAAGAAAATTAAAGAGAGTAAAATTATGCTACTTTCAATTAATTGAATAGAGAAAATATTTCTTCTTGTGAAAAAAAAAAAATTATTGAAAGCACCAAAAATTCAATGTTTAGATAGAAAGTTGCTCTCAGTTAAGTTTATGTTTTAAAAAGAAATAAAATAAAAACTCTATTCATAGTACAATGTAATTTTTTTTAGTCAATTGGCAAAGGAAACTGCTAAGTTGAATTGAACCCACTCACCTGTATCTAGTTACGCCCATAGTTTTGTCATCTTAACTAATTAATACCATCCTACTTTTGAGAACGAAGTCCACTTTTATGGACTAATCAACGTTGCTGTAACAATTATGACCTCTTTTTAAAAGGCCGTTTAGTAGGTAAGTTTCGAATTCCCCACTTAAGTTTGATTTAGTATTCATAATATTTTGTTAGAGTTAAATATATCTTTAGGTTTGGAGAGGCGGGGGTTTAGCTTGGCCCCGATTAATGCGTGGGATTCTCTCGCAATATCAGTAGGTGCTAAGCGGCAATACTCCTTGACGGATATGTTGAGTAACTTATCTGCATATCCATTTTATGAATCTAAAAAAAAAAAAATGAAGCTTTTAATTTTAAGTTATTTTAAATTATCTTACTCTTTACATAATTTATTTTAAAAAAAATAAAATATATTAAAAAAATAAAAAAAATCAACTTTTAACTAATTTTTAAAATACTGATATATAGGCTTGGTTTAGGAAGTGGGTTGACTTTTTGATTTTTTTTTTTGACTATTTTAGTTTGGGGCTAAAAAGCTTAGTTTGGAAAGACTTTTGGTTTTTTTGACTTTTTTTGTGAGAGAAATAATATAATGATTATGGGTTGGATGTGATGTTTTGTTTATTGAGTTAAAAAACTATTTTATTTTTGAATAAATTACATTAACACCCCTTGAGTTTATGTTTATTACAGTTCCCCCTCACCTTTTGAAATTACATCATCCTCCATGAGTTTAAAGTTTCATTAACAATTACCCTTGAGATTTAAATTGGTAAACATTCCCTTTACTGTAATGATCATCATATATAAAATTAAATTAACAGGGAGTCAGTGTAATTTTTCAAATGTGAGGGGAACTGTAATAAACATAAACTTCAGGGGTGTCAGTGTAATTTACTATTTAATTTTTATGGCTATTTAATCAAAAAAAACCTCCAAACCCACTTTCCAAACGGGCACATAATTTTAAGGAATATGTTTTTTTTCTTCGAAAACAGATTAGGTAATATTGTTGAGGCTGGTGAACCTAACTCCAGGTTTATTTTGATAATTAAATCGTTAATGTGTAAAATGTGTTGAATACATATTTGTGTAAAATTACGTTATTCGGATATCGATAATTACTTGATTAAATTGTATTTATATTTATATTTATTTTTAAAATCATAATTACTTAAATAAATATATCTTGATCAAGTGACTATTGATATCTAATCAATATAATTTTCTTGTAAGAATTATATATCTATAAACTTTAGATATTTAACGATTTAAATTATCAAAATAAGTTACAAGTCGAATCTACTAAGAGCTAACAATATCATCCAGTCATTTTTATGGTGGGAGTTCTACAATTTTAACGGTAATGTTGGGACCAATGGGGTGACCCCACCCCACTCACGTGGAGGCTGCCAATGGCTGAAAAAAAAAAAAAAAAAAAAATTGAACCAATTAGAGGGGATCCCAACTCTACTAGGTCTCATCATTTTTTTTAATTTTAAATGAAGCACTCAGGACGAATATTACGTGATCCATCAGAACGATCACTGAACACACATGCGTACGGTATAAATCTTTGTTATCGTAAAAGAATTATTGAATCTCCAATTTATCGAAACCCAAAACCGCCTCTTTTTTTCTGTTTTTTTTTTTGCTCCGCAACGCAAAAAAAGATGTTTTGTGTATGGTGTTTTGATTTCGGGATAATTTATTAAAAAAAAAGTCATTATCGAGAAATTAATGAAGTGTCGCTATAAAAAAATTCAAAATTAATTAGAAACAGTGCAAATTTGAAAAAGAATCAATTGAAATCTGACTATTTTTTTCACACCCCAGGAATTCAAACCTGAGTAACTTATGAGGAGAAAAATGCATTCTCCACTGTGCCACCATCCCTGGTGTAAACCTAAAACCACCCTGAATGCGATAATTTGCTTTACAACAAGAAAACCCGGTTCTTGCCAAACCAAAATCAAGCATATCTCTCTCTTGGTCAAGCTTCAAATACTTCTCTCTCTCCTATCACACACAGATACACACATACACTTGCTTGCTCTCTCTCTCTCTCTCTGTGCAAATATCTGCTTTGTCATTTCCATTGCTGTTCAAAGTTTCAGAGTTGATCACCATTTTAATCAGCAAAAATGCATGCAAATCACTTGCTTCTCGAAGAGCCTATCAGGATGGCTTCAATCCTCGAGCCATCTAGATCCGTAAGTCTCTCAATCCCCTCCAACTCTCTTTCAATTTCATCTTCGATCTTACTGAGTATGTAAGTATACGTATATATATTTATTGTGAATTTGATTCGCAACTTCAACCATGTTGGAATGGATTGTTCAGAGTTTCTTCCCTGCAATGACCAAGATCGTCGGGACTTTGGGTCCTCGCTCTCGATCCGTAGAGGTCATCTCTGCTTGTCTACAAGCTGGAATGTCAGGTACTCTTTGTTTTCTCTGTTTGATTTTGAGCTCCATATTTGCTGAATCTTGTTTTATGTTTTATATATGTATTATATATGTAATAGAATTATTGTATGATTGTGGTTATACAGAGGTTGGTGTTTTTGTGTTGGGATTAGGGTTTGGTTTGGTATGACGTTGGGGGGATTTGGCTAATGGGTTTTGGGAATTTGTGGTTTGGCAGTGGGTCGATTCGACTTTTCGTGGGGGACGCTGAGTATCACCAAGAGACTTTGGAAAATTTGAGGACTGCTGTGAAGTCTACTAAGAAGCTTTGTGCTGTATGTATCTTTATATGTCACAAAAATTAAATTAATTTGCACTCATTAATGTTCTTTTAATTCATCTTGCAGGCTGTTTTGTTTTTGTTGTTCTGTTTTGTTTATACTAGTTGTTTGCTGTCTTGTTTCTACTGACAATGCTTTTTTTTTTTTTTTTAGAATGGTTTATTTTGTTTAGATCCCCATTTGGTTGCTGAAAAAACTGAGGAAGAAAAAAAATGTAGAAAGGAATTGAACTTCTCTTTGCTTTCTGAAAGGAAAAAAGGAAAAAAAAAAGAAAAGAAAAGAAATTTCGAATCTGTTGTAAAATGCTGATTTTGGTACAGGCAAATGGAGACGAGTCACGTTAACTGAACAAAGTAGTTGTTTTGTTCATTTTTAGTACTAATGTGAATATCTAAAATGTAAAATTTGTGTAGTTTCTTTTTCATTTGCATGCATTTTCCCAGCAACCTAATGGGACGCCATGTACAAAATAAAAAAATAAAAAATGAATTGAAGTTATGTTGTTATTATTTTTTTTTTCTCCAGGTTATGCTAGATACGTGGGGCCTGAGCTGCATGTTATCATAAACGCTGAGAAAACTATTTCACTTCAGGAGGATGGTATAGTTGTTCTAACACCCGATCAAGGTCAGGAAGCTTCTTCTGACGTGTTGCCGATCAACTTTTCTGGACTGGCAAAGGTATGAACACTTGCATCACCCCATCATTATCCCTAATGAATATTTCTTGCCTGCATTTTAAGCCTAATAAATTAATTGATGGCATGGATAGATTAGTAGAAGTAAGTTGGTGGTGGCTAAAATGTTCAAAGGGTCCATTTTGTCCTCTTATTTATTTTCTAACTTCTGGAATCCATTTTCTACTAAAATAGTTTTAGAAAGCTCACTTGATAAAAAGATATAAGTATGTGTCCATTGTCACCCTTGTTTCTGTTGAAATTCCTGATGCTCTTGTGGAAGTTGGGGACTGAAATTTGACGTCTAGTCGTAAATGGAGAATAGCTATATCGTCTTGCTATGCTTGCATTTATGTTTTTTCGTAATAATGACTATGGTTAATTCTTGCCATGGCAGTGAAAGTATTTGAATTTCAAAAATTGTGGACCTTTTCTTTTCTTCAAAATACTTGAAACAATGCATCTAGGACTTTCACTGTATAATAGGTGAACTTAGTTGGAATCATAGTTGGTTGCATAATCACATGTAATCTTTTTGTACAATCCTAATGATCTCAGTAAAATCTCCACACTTACCAGGCTTTTGATGTGGATTTTGCAGGCAGTGAAGAAGGAGACATTTTTTGAATATTTATTTTAATTTTTTACTTATTAAATTTTTTAGATTATTTAAATTATTTAAATATTTATGATTTAAATTTTTTGAATATTTATTTTGAAAAAAAATTATTTCCTTTGTAGTATTTTTAATTAAAAAATTGATTAATGTTATTTTCTGTTAATAATAATTTTTTTTAATTGAATTTTAAAAAGAGTTTGGTTATGAGTATTGATCAGAATTTTCAATAGTGTGAAAGTAATGTGTTTTGTTATGAGTTATAATAATTTGAATTAAGTTTTGAAAATTCTTTCCAAAACTCACAACCAAACAAATTTTCTTACTTCACATGTCAAATCAAACTTTCAAAACTCAATTCCACACACACTCAATTCAAAACTCAATTCAACACTCTATTCAAAAATCATAACCAAACAAATTTTCTTCACTCAAATCATAATTCCACAACTTACAGACTCAAAACACAACTCATATTCTCAAATCATATTTACAAAACTCTACCAAATGCAACCATTTATTTTTAACTTTATCTACCAATCATATCCTTTTATAATTTTGAATATATATTTAAATGCAAATAATTTTTAATAGGTGAATTTAACTTTTATGAAATTTGTATCATTAAAAAGAATGAAATCATACCTTTAAAATTAATCTAATGTTAAATATATTTAACAAAAATAAAAAATTAAATATTCATTAATAAACAAAAAATATTCACTTTTTGATAGCAATATTTTGGAAGGAAATCCTTAGAGAAAAAAATGAAGACTTGTGGTTAGTTAGGGTGAATAATGAAATATTATATATTCACATTTTGAATAAAAAAATTTATTTTTGTTCTCTAGTTGAGAGTGATGGATTGGAGATGAGCATGAAAAGTATAATTGTTAATTGGATTGTTTGGTATAGTTTACCTAAATTATTTATAATCTTTTTTATTCTAAGTGTTTGTTTGTGATTGTTTGGTGTTAATTTTACTTATAATTTAATAGACACAAATAATTTAAATATATTAAAAAAATAATTCCTAAAAATTGAGTAAGATATACTTTTATTTTTGTACCTTTTAAATTATGAAGTTTTACTATGTTTGGAAAGAAGTAAAATGCCTAAAAAGGAAAAAAAAAAGAAAAAAAAAAGAAGATCAAATAGGTTAATTTAGCCAATAAGAAAAAATATTATATCCAAATTATAATTGTTTTATTTTTTCTCTCACAATCATTACATTAAAAAAAAAATTTCTTTCAAAATAAAATTAATTTAGTCAAGCTAAATTAGTCAAAAAAATAAAACTAAATTAACTCTTCTTAAACAAAAACTTAGCCTTTGTTTGGGATGTAGATTGGTTTTTTAAATTTTTGACTTTTTAGTTATTTTAGTCTAGAACTAAAAAGTCTCATTTGTAATAATTTTTTTTTTGACTATTATAAAAAAAATAATAATAATTATAATTTAAATATGACATTTTATTTTATTAACTTTTTAACTTATTTTACTTTTTTTTATAATTAAAATAACCAAAGTAATCTATGGCAAAGCCTTAATGGCCCTGTTTGGTAGAGCTGTAGGAAAGTGCTTATAGCTTATGCCTCAACAGCTTATAGCTTATAACTTTCAGCTTAAGCTGATTTCCAGCTTATTCTTAAAGCATCTCCTGCCCCACTCAAAGAATAAACTGATTTCTGACTTCCAAAAAGGTATAAGCTATAAGCTAAACTAAACACATCAAAATAGCTTAAATTAAGCTGAAAGTTAAAATAAGCGGTAATTAAGCTCTGCCAAACAGGCACAATAGCCTGCCTCAAAGAAAACCATTGTCAAGTGTACCATGTACGTGAACTGGCCACAGATTTCACGTGGTTGAGTTAAGATCATAGTTTATTTTTAGGCATAGTTAAACAACACACTAAGGCTTTGTTTGGAAAATGAGTTGACTTTTTAGTTTTTTAACTTTTTAATTTTTTTAATTTTTTTGTGAGAGAAGAGTGTAATAATTATGGATTGGATGTAATGTTTTGTTTTTTGTGACTAAAATAGCCACTTTAGCCCTTCTCAAACAATGCCTTAGGCCTCGTTTGGGAACAGGCTAATTTAGTAACTTTTTGGCTATTTAGCTAAAATATGAGCTAAAAAAAATTAGTATATTTGGGATGATTTTTTGACTTTTTATGAAAAGATGTACAAAAAGTAGAGAGAAAAGAGAATCTTTGACTTTTTTGTATGAGTTGTTAACTTTTTGATTTTTTTAGTAACTTTTTGACTTTTTAGCTAAAAATGTCACTTGCCAAACGAGGCCAAAGGCTAGAAATTCAAAAATCATATAAAAATGAAGGTAGCGTTTGGTTTAGTTTTGCAATTGTGATTTTCTTTTTGTAGTTGTGATTTGAGTGTGAAATTGTGAGTTGAGTTTTGAAAAAAGAAAATTTTCTTAGTTGTGAGTTTTGAAACAATAATATTTCGTAGCTCGAAATTCCTTTGCCCCGAATGGCTCGACTGGTCAAAACGATGTCGTTTTAGGCAGTTTTTTTTTCCATCATCTTATATCTCTAAAACAGAGGGAAGAAGAAAGAGAAGAGAGAAGAAGAGAAATTCAAAGAGAAAAAGAAAAAGAAAAAGAAAGAGGGAACAGAAAGAAAGAGAGAGGTTTCATCCATCACCGGGTTGCCATCCTCTATCTGTGTACCTCTCTCTCTCTCTCTGTTCCCCGATCTGTTGATGATCTCTGTGTATGTCTCTCTCTGTTCCCTGATCTGTTGATCTGTGTGTGTATATAGATCTATCTCTCTCTCTCTCTTTCTCTCTGTTCTGAGTTATAGAAGAAGAAAAGAAAAAAAAACAAAGGAGAAAAATATGATGTGTGATGATGATGATAATGATGTGTTGTTGTTTGATGTTGATGCTCTCTCTCGGTTGATGATGATGACCTGAGTTGGTTGATGTTCTCTCTCTCTCTCCCTCTCTCCCTCTCTCTTTCTCCCTCTTCTTCTTCTTCATCTTTTTCATCTTCATCTCTGCTTTAGAGAGAAAAGAGGGGGGGAAATCTAAAACGACATCGTTTTGGAACCCGGACCATTCGAGCCTCAGTATTTTCAAGCTACAAATCGAAACTGGTTTTGAAAAGTATTTTGAAAATAGTTTTTGAATTTCAAATTTTGAAAAGAGTTTTCAATTGTATTTTGAGTTTTTGAATTTTGAGTAGAATTATGAATTTTTTGGATTTTTTGTCAATATTAAAAAATGATTAAAAAAATTTATTATTATTTTTTAAATATATAATTTTTATTTAAATATTTTAATTTTCAATATTTTATTTTATTTTGTAAATATTTTAATTTTTAATTTTAATATTTTAAACTCAAAATACAACTTCACACTCAAATTGTAACAAAAAACATAACTCAAAACTCAATTCAAAAATTATTTTAACCAAACACATAACTCGACACTCTACACTACTTTCAAAACTCTATATTCAAATCATAACCAAACGCGTAACAAAAATATTAAAATATTTAAAAATATATTTATAAAATCAAATCAAATATTTAAAATGAAAACTATATATTTAAAATAAAAATTATATATTTAAAATAAAAAATTAATTTTTTATAAATTCAATTTTTTATATTTAAAAAAATACAGCACAAAAATATATGAAATATAGTGCACATTAAAATAAATATATAAATATTTAAAATATAAAATATTTATCCTAAAATAAAAGTAAGAAAATTTTTAAATATTTTAAAAAAAGAAATCCAAAAAATTTTAAAAGACAACATTCAAATCATGATTCTAAAAATAATTTTTAAAAGACAACACTCAAGAATATTTTTTTAAATAAAGTTTTGAAAAAAGTTTTGATTTTGAGTTTTAAAAATAATTTTGAGTTGTATGTGTTGATTATGAGTTTTGAAATTAATTTTTGAATTGAACTTTGAATTGTGTGCTTAACAAAGTATTTTGAAAAGTGTTTTAAAAATTTCAAGCGTAGAATCATGATTCCATGCTCAAACCAAATAAAGCCTAAATATTTATAATTACTCTCTTCAATTTTGTAAGAGTAATTGTAAAAAAATGATAATATCACAAAATAATTATAAAGTGATAAAAGTACAAATAATTTATGTGTTAAATTATGTAAATAAATTTTATACTTTCATCATTGTATAATTATTTTATATTATTATCATATTTTTGTCATAGTTCAATTTTTTTACATATATTTTTTTATAAACTAGTAAAAAGCTATTAAAAAAACACATCCCAAACAAATTTTACCTACTTATTTTGTGAAATAAATTAGAAGTTGATTTTTTGATTTTTATTTAAAAAAATATAAAAAAATAATATAATCAAAAAAATTAAAAAAACTAAAACATTGATCTTTTAACTGTTGCCGCGTGCCGCCGCATGTCTCGTGATATCATAGACTTTTCTACTTAATAGATCACACGTGGCGGCGGGCCGTCGGTCATTTTCTGACCTCTTTTTGCTCTAAAATTGGACCAACCTCTAACCGTTTACTATTGCGCGCGTTTTTGTGGAGTTTGGTGCTAGCTTCAGTGGGTAGCAGCAGAACACGACGGGCGCACGTTCGGTTCGGTGGGCTGAACCCCGGAAAAGGTCTGAAAGCATCTCCAACCTATTTTTCATATTTTTATATTTAAAAGATTTTAATTTTCAATTCATCTTTTAGGAGAATTTTCATCCAAATATTTAAAATTTAATAGGTCAATTTTTTATTTTTATTTTTAAAGTCTTAGGAAGTAAATTGGAATATATTAATTTGATATGAAAGTTGAGAGAGTAAAATGTGTAAATCTAGGCCAAGCTAAGATGGAACAGAAGTGAGTCGAGCTGGGAGCTGAGTAAAAATGGTCTTCGACATTGGGCCTAGTTAGCTCGGTCATAAATGACTGAGATAGCCCGATTAGAGTAAGATAAACCGAGGTACAGGAAGACTGCATTGGAAGAGCAAGATGGGACAGAGCTAA